GCGCGAAAAACAAACCTTCAGCCAGGACCACGGAGCTGGCGATCATTGAGTACGGCTTCTCCAAGGCGGGAGCTGCAAGGGGTTCCCTGGAAAGGGTTTTCTTTCGAAAGGGGTCTCTTTCTTTGGAGTTTTTTTCGGGAGTTCATTGTTCTTTTCCGGGTTGACATGTCGTGTTTTTGATTTCCGCCCTGGGGTTGGGTCGCAATTTCGGGCGAGCCCCTTGTATTGGTTGGGACGGTACTCAGCCGTTCAAAAAGAATTATCATACACAACAAATTTTGCCAGAGACACGTTGTTTATTTCTCACTTCCTTGAAGAGTTTCAGCATGCTCATAGGCTCAACAAGCACCCAGACACACATACACACAAACACACAGTCTGACAGAGACTCACAGACACAGGCGAACATACAGTTGGCTGGTGCTGAAACAGTGATATTGTGGCGGTGAGCACTATTGAAGCAGTACATTGTGGCAGTGTACAGTTGGCTGGTGCTATCGAAACAGTGATGGCTAGTGGTATTCACACAGTGACAGTGTACCGTCAACAAGTGCCACCGGCACAGTGGTACTATGGCAACGATAGTATTGCAGTGTATGGAGGCAGCGTTATTGAGACAGTCATGGAGGCAGCTGTTTGATACAGTGATGGTGTGGCAGTGACATTGGGGGCAGTCTCCTGTCTCAGCTGTTTTAGAAAAAGCACCCGACAAGGGACCTACGTAAATCGAGATACAAGAGAACTAGACAATCACAGAGGACTCCGGACACACAAATAAATAAGCGTACCATTGGTGTTGTGCGTTTGCTTTTTACGCTGTGACCAATCGAGTGTTTGTTTCGCCGGAAGGGCTGGATCAAGCCCCAGCCGCCTCTGCAGCGCACGGGGCGCCGGGTCTGCGTCATCGGGTCCGGGCCCGCGGGGCTGGCGGTGGCGCAGCAGCTGAACCGCGCAGGGCACCTGGTGGAGGTCATCGAGAGGCAGGGCGAAAGAGAAGCGGAAAGGGGCGAATGCCGGAAAGGGACGGGACAGAAAAGGATGGAACCGGGGCGGGCCCCGTCGAAGGTTTGGGGGGGACGTCTTTTTTCTGCGCCTGGTTCGGCAGGGGAAAGAGTGCCAGGGAAATCCAAATGGCTACGTACTGCCCCTTAGCATCTATTTTGGGGTCGTTTTGAGACCGAAGCAAAGCTTTTTAGCCAACTTTAGAGAACCTAGGGAAGCCCCTAAGGAAGCCCTAGACAAAGCCCTAGGGAAGCCTTAGGAAACCTTGAGGAAGCATGTTTGCGGAAAGCTTGAGCACAATCAAGGGGTCTCTTAGGTTCAGCTTAGGAAGTCTTAGGGAAAATGCTGATACATCCACTTCCTAACTGCCCTAGAAATGGGACCCAGGTACCTTGAGGGCGGGGGGTAGGGGGGTCGGGGGGTACAGGCATTCGTAATGCAGGAAATTCGGGAACAGAAGCTGAAGACGAGCTGTTTCACCAAAGATCAACTATTTGTGATCCCGGCTGTCAGCTTGTTTCATTCATTGAACGCAAGCTTCTCACGGTTTGTTGCGTCCTGTTTCGAAACCTTTGCTTTGGTAACGTTTCCCGTATTGCTGTCGCATCTCCCGCGGCTTGGCTTTGCTGCACGGACTTGCCACCTTTCCTTGCAGGTTTAGGGTTGTATGGTGGGTTTAGAGGGGGTTTGGGTTGGTTTATGGATGGTGGCTCAAGGGTGGCAAAGGGTTTGAAAAGGTTGGTTTAGGCTTATGTTGTGAGTCGCCTGGGTTTGAGTTATTTTTTAGGATGGGTTGTAGAGTTGGTTTGGAAGGTTGGTATTGGCTGAAGTTGGTTTAGGGTCACGTGATGCAATGAGACGCGTCATTGGAAAGCTGTGTGCGAGGCTGCCACATGTCCATCGTTTCCGCAACCGAAGCATTCGCATGGCTCCGCGGGAGGGCCGACCGCCCTGGGGGCCTTCTGATGTACGGCATCCCATCCATGAAGCTGGATAAGATTGAGAAAGTGCTGCGCCGCATCACGCTCCTGAAGCAGGAGAGGGCAACGGCTGAGGGGCCGTGTATCCGTGAGGTCGCTTTGGCAAAATGCTAGGGTCTGGCACCCCAAGAGGGAAGATCATACCCTATGTGCCGTTCTGGCTGGTTTGACCTTGTTTTTTAATGGAAGTGAGGTCAAATTGCAATTGTTGGTTGGATTTGAAATCGGACCATTCCCAACAATTGCAAAATTCGGTACTCCCAAATATTGTGGAAATATTTACCCTCCCTCCCACTAACAGGTATCGGGTATTTACCACCCGCATGTGCGAGTGGCTCCCACCCCTGGCACGCCCGCTCGCGCTCACGCGCATCACGGCAGAGCTGCACGCACGCAGGCACATGATAACCGCACGCGCTCACGCGCATCACGTCAGAGGCATAAGTACCTAGGCCGTGGTTTTTCGTTTCTGGTGTTTTTTCGGGTGCTCAGCACCAGAACAACTGGACACATCGTGAAAACTTGAACAAATTTGTTTCTTTAATCGTAGTCTCACATTGCCCCAGCTTCCCGTAAGGCTTTTGTTGGACAACAGCAGTGGGCTGCTAAGGAGCTTCTAGTTGCAGATAAAGGCTACATAATACCTTCATCATTTGCGGCTCAGTTGAGGCCGAGCAGCACAAAGTCCCGTAGGGGCATGTGTGAGCAGGCAGTTTTAAATGCCACTCAATGATAAACGTGTACAACGTTCCCGGTTCAAGAAGGATTCGGTTCTTGCCTTGGTCGTGGTCGATTCTTAGGGCCAGCTTCCAAGTAACGGTTCGGTTCTACACGGTTCGGTCCCGGGGCGGTTCGAAGCGATTCAATTCTGAAAGGGCTTCGATTGCGGTTCTTGAGCCCCAAGCCAACCCCAAACACCCTGAACCAACCCGAAGCCCCAATGCTTCTCTAGTGCTCTTCTAGTGATGCTACTCTAGTGCTCCTTTACTGCTGCTCCAACGCCCCTCGCCCTCCAAACCTAAGCCCAAGCCAACCCTTTGCCCTAAACCAACCCTCAGCCAGCCCAACCCCTTAAACCAGCCCTAAACACCTTGAACCGACCCTACAAACCAACCCAAAAAAGCCCTGAACCAAACCAATGCTTTTCCAGGGCTACCGCTCCTCAAGCTTCCTCGCGCGTACCGCTCTTCTAGTGATGCTACTTTAGTGCTCCTTGACGCTCCTCCACTGCTCCTCAAGCGCTCCTCTAGCTCACAGGCTTAACCCGAAACCGACCCCGCAAGCAGCCCTACCAACCCTCAACCAACCCAAACCAACCCCAGCCCCAAACCGCCCAAAAACCAACCCAAGCCAGCCTTCATGTTCTTTGCCGTTTCCTTTCTCTATTCGTGCCCTGCAAATATGGATTAATTTTTCCAACATTGTCATCCTGGTTTCTTCCACAGGGCTTTTTGGTTTTCCATATTTGTCTACAGACGTGCCTGACTTATGCCTGATATTTCTATCTTCTATCTCCACATAAAAATGGCTGTCATTTTTGAGCCCATCGTACATTGAACATATATGTGTCATCACGTGTATCTCTTTGGACGTCTTCCTCAGGTTCAAGGCTTTCTTGTCGTTTGACAAAACAATGGCAACGCAATCCTCCAAACTCTCGATTACCAAACACTAACATTGTATGGCGCGTTGTGAGATTTACAATCCATTTTCACGACAGTCCTTGCAGATGTCTTTCAACTTTTGACGCTTACAAAGTTGATTGCCTCCACACTCTCTACGGCGTGCTTTGAAGATGCCGCGCTAGCAAATTCCACTTGCACCAGAGTCTTTGCATTGACTTCTGTCTTTACCATTCTCACAATTTCTACTTCCATTGCAGTCCTGCGTTGATATTCTCTTCGCTCACAAAATTGACTACCAGAATCCTTACATCTCTATTTGAGTTTACCGTGCTGACACAGTTGACTACCACCATTCTCTTTGCTTTAACTGCTCGATATCATTTGTAATGTGAAAGTAAACTACACCAAGCTCTCGCTTTTTCATACAACATTATATTAAAGCCTTTCACGGTTCATGTTCCCTCCATGCTTTGCGATTCTTTTGCAGAATGGTTGGGCTGTGTTTCTCTCGTTTACCTGTGCTCCAAACCCATCGGGCCTTTCGTCAGCGACTAATGGCGCTAACCATCGTCGCTAAGCGTCCTCGTTCTCTCTGGCGCTTTCATTCATAAGTTTAGAAAACATGCGACGAGCTCGGTTGTATTCAGTGAAACCTTCTACAAGTGTTGGAACCAACCTCCGGACAAAAGAGCTTGGCCGGGAGCTAGGACGGAGTTGGTTGTTTGCACACGGTGTATTCATACTTTCAACATTGACGCAAGTTCTTAGCGATCGAGGGTCTAACCATGAGTTGTCTTCAGCGTTCAAGTGAAGCTTTTAATAACGATTTCCGCTAGTAGGACAATAAACATTTCAACGGCGTGGGAAAATGAAACTGCCCTGGGGTCTAAGACACAGCTGGAAACTTTGTGAAATTTAGAACAAGAACCTATTCAGGCGCGAGCGTGACGCGGTGAGCGGGTGTGCTTACCATGTGCCAGCGTGGGAGCAGCTCTGACATGATGCGTGTGAGCGGGTGTGCTGCTCATGTAACCGCGCGCGTGCAGCTCTGACGTGATGCGCGTGAGCGTGTGCTTTTCATGCGCGCGCCAACGCGCGCAGCGTGGTTTTCCCGCTCCGGCGCCCTCTAGTCATAGGGAGTTAGGATGGGCTATCTTTGGGTTGGCTTAGGGTTGGGATTGGTTGGGTTGGTTTAGGGTTGCTGTCCACCATTCGTTTTATGATGAACAGTTTTTGAGAAACCACACCCTCGCAGTCTGGAGCATATGCCGATGCTGTCTGGAGCATATGCCCTTGCTCATTTTGAATGATTGGCATGCCCATTGCCCATTCCTTGAAATGAATTGTTCATTCCTAAATATGAGTTGCTCGTTCCTGAAAATAAACGGCTCGCTGAATGGGACGAACTGTACGTGCAGTCTCATTGTAGCAGCTAAAGTCTTTTCTCTTGTGACTATTTTATAGTCATAATTCCTAAAGATTATATTGTTCTCTATTTTTCATGTTCATAACTTGCTTAGCTGATTCAATGGTTCTAAATCTGAACGCTGAGCATTCATTTTTTGATTGGCTCTTGTTGTATCTTTGTCTTTTGTCTTTTGAATCATTTTTGTTGGCATGATGATGTGAAATTTGTTGATATATGTGTTTTTGAGTTAGGGTTCTTACTTGTTTTTGTTGATTGGTGTTCTGTGAGTATGCTTGTTTGATGTATTGATTGTTGTGTTCTTTAAGTATTTTGTTGGTTGGTGGGCCTGGCTTGCCCCGCGGACTTCGATCATGCAAGATATGTACATGTGTGTCCCTGGTTGGTCACTATTTGTCGAGCGGCAGACCTTGAAAAGCACTGGCGTTGGTCTAGCTGGTCTGGCATCTGTTTCGTGTCATCAACCAAGGCCGGAACACTACGGGGGCCGTGTTGCGGGTAAAATGCCTTCATGTATTTTTGAGTATATATTTTTGAGATCATAGAAGTATCGTGGTTGCTTGAAAGCAGACACAACAAGTACCGTGTTGAAAGCAGAAGTGGCCGGATAGCTCCTAGGCATGCTCCGAAAGATGCTAGACAGTAGCTACCACTAGAACAGTACATGCCAGAGATACGAGCAACACATGAAAAGTAGGCGGGAGCGAAAATTCTGGTAAAAATCACTATTTTTGCTAGGCACGTATTTCTTGAGGCGCGCGTTATATAGACAGAAACAAGGTTAGGCGAATGACAAGCTTGTGCTGGACACCTGGTGCACAACGATAGGGGTATGCTAAACATGTGTTAGACATATAGCAAAAATGTGCTAGATATTTCCGAGATATGTTGGATGTATGGCAAATGACACACGCGCGCGGTAGCCACTTTCCAAATGCGCTCTCGGATTTGTTTTAGGTATTTGGATTGCGTGACAGGAGCTTGATAAATATTCTAGAGGAATGTCAGTAGACATGCGTTGGATCTACCCTAGGATTACCATGTGGTGCACAAAGAAGGCGTATGCCAGATGCATTCTAGGATCTCTACCAGGTTTGCCTTAGGCATTGCTAGCTGATAATGCAGTAATATGTTAAATATGACAGACAAGTGTCTGGGAAATTACTGCACAATGCTAGCGGCCTAGCGGTGTGCTCAACATGTTAAGGCTATAGCAGACATTCGCCCGGCCTATGCAAGGAATATGTTGGGCGCGTGACACGGTAACCGGCAAATTCTACACACATCACACGGTTCATAAATTTCAGTCCCAAATGACACCAAACTAAATGTGAATAGCTTGTGGGCCACCAGTGCATTCACAACAAATTACAATTGCATTGTGACTGGTGGCGGCAAAGGCACAAAAATATCGACTTACGGAAAGGGTACTGTTCCGAGGATATTCGGGACACCGTGCTCTTTCCGAGGGGCAACACAAAAACTGTTTCAAAGTACCCCCTCGGTTTCTCAGGTTCTCAGCCGTAGGGCTTGTCCCAGGTGCTGCGAGACAAAGATTGACTTGAAGCGAGAGGTCTTGAACCCCGCTTCATATTGAATCAATCGATATATATATATATATGTATATATACACTGCCAAGTGGCACAACACTTACGTGACAATGTCTGATGGGAGATCTTCGATTACATTCAGGCAAACAGGATGAATGAGCTTGAGGCAATGGCCTATGGTTTCAACAACGAAGCTCAACAGTTGCGAGCGGAGAGCAGTGAAATCTCGACTTCGTTTCGGAAAGCGATCGAAGTCATGAGAACGAGCGTCTTCGAGAGGCGATGAGACAAGAAGAATCGACTATGCAAGCTAAGCTGAGAGGTTCGGAGATGCAGCACAATAACATAGTTACCAACAAAGATGGACAGATCCAAGCCCTGAAAGGTCAAATGCAGCACCTGAAAGGTCAAATGCAGCACCTGTCCGGGAGTGAATCAAGGGAAGAATGGTTCCG